CAAGGGAGTTGTTTCTGGATGCTCAGCAATGAAGAGCTAATAGGCGTAAGGAACAGTTACGCAGTTACAGGAGGTAATTGCACTCAGCTGGTGGTAATTAGGTTCCTCTCAAGACTATAAAAGGAATGATTGTGCACACGCCCCTTTGCAGGAGTCAACGTATTCACTAAAGTTGGAGAACTCTCGTGGCTAGCTTGGCAGGCTGGATTGCTGCCAAGGGCCTCTCTCTGTGTTAATAAATCCTTGAAGTATCTTTGCCTCTGCGTGCTTTGGTGTAGGACGAAGGGGAGTCAGAACATTTGGGGATGGACTTTGGAGTCCCAGGGGACGATCCCTTAAACATGAGCCAGCCGTGTGCGGCCGCAGCCAAAAATGCTAACGCAATCTTTGGTGGTATAAACAGAGGCACAGAATCAAAATCACACGAAGTGTTAGTACCACTTTATAAAGCCTTAGTAAGGCCACCCCTGGAAGGCTGCATCCAGTTTTGATCCCCACGTTACCGAACAAGATGTTGAGACTTTGGAAAAAGTTCAGAGAAGAGCAACTAAGAGGATCAAAAGCCTGGAGACTGAAACATAGGAAGAATAGTTGCAGGATTTGGGTTTGGCTGATCAAGAGAAAAAAAGGACTAGGGGGACTAAACCCAGCCCTTCAGAAGTTAGTTATCAATTGGTGATTTTTGTAAGGTCAAGGTTCCCCTCGCACAAATGTGCTAGTTGTTCCCGACTCTAGGGGGCGATGCTCATCTCCATTTCAAAGCCGAAGAGCCAGCGCTGTCCGAAGACGTCTCGGTGGTCATGTGGCCGGCATGACTCAACTCCCGAAGGCGCATTGAATGCTGTTCTCTTCCCACCAAAGGTGGTCCCTATTTTTCTACTTGCACTTTTTACCTGCTTTCGAACTGCTAGGTTGGCAGAAGCTGGGACAAGTCACGGGAGCTCCCTCCGTTACGCGGTGCTGGGGATTCGAACTGCCGACCTTTCTGATCGACATGCTCAGCCATCTTAGCCCCCAAGTCACCGCGTGCCTCGTATAAACAGAGGCATAGAATCAAAATCGCGTGAAAGTATTAGTACCGTTTTTTTAGTAGTATAGTCTTTACTGCCATTGTACAAAATAAATACAACCAGATTGGTTAAATTATTATTCTTAAATTATTAAAGCCTTAGTAAGGCCACACCTGGAAGGCTGCATCCAGTTTCGGTCCCCACGTTACCGAAAAAGATGTTGAGACTTTGGAAAAAATGCAGAGAAGAGCAACTAAGAGGATTAAAGAGACTAAAACATACCAAGAACAGCTGCAGGAATAGGGAAGAAGAATTCCAGCTGCCACAAAGAGGAGGAGGTCCATTTCTTTTCCAAAGCACCAGAAGGCAAAACAAGAAACAATGGATGGGAACTAATCAAGGAGAGAAGCCATCTGGAATTAAGGAGAAACTGCCTAACCGGGATGACAATTAACCAGTGGAACAGAAGTTGCCACCAGAAGTTGAGGGTGCTCCATCACTGGAGATCTTTAAGAAGAATCTAGACAGCCACTTGTCTGACATGATAAGAGGGGCCTGAGCAGGGGGTTGGAGTAGAAGATCTAGTAAGGCCACACCTAGAGTACCGCATCCAGTTTTGGTCACTACACTATAAAAAAGAGGTTGAGGCTCTGGGAAGAGTGCAGAGAAGAGCAACCAGGATGATGAAGGGACTGGAGGCTCAAACACAGGATGAACGATTGCAGGAACTGGGCCTGGCTAGTCTTGTGAAGACAAGGACCAGGGGAGACAGGAGAGCATCTTCCAATATTTGAGGGGCTGCCCCAGAGAGGAGGAAGCGGATCAAGCTATTCTCCAAAGCACCTGAAGGCCAGAGAAGGAATAATGGATGGAAACGGATCCAGGAGAGATTCAACCTGGAAATAAGGAGGAATTTCACAACAGTGAGAATAATCAACTCATGGAACAGAAGTTGTGGGAGCTTCATCATCGGAGGCTTTCAAGAAGAGACTGGACTGCCCTCTGTCAGAAATGGTGTAAGGTCTGCTTGGACAAGGGGGTTGGACTAGATGACCTATAAGGCCCCTTCCGACTCTGTTACTCTGTTAAATAACCTCCCAGGTCCCTTCCAGCTCTATCCTGATTGACTGAATAACTGATGGACTGACTACCTCTCCCATATTCCCCAGCCTTGTGTCTAACCCCCCCCACCCCCCCATTACCTGATAAAAACGAAGATAGCTTTCCGGTAGTTGGTTCCGAAGACCACCCAGGAAGATCCCAGGAAGGGGGCTACCACATCGATCAAGCCCGGCTGCAGATCGTCCATCTCGTCGAAGAGGAAAAGGGACCGGCTGCACTGGGTGATATTTCCCTGGATCCAACTTCGGAGATCACCCTTAGGCAGAAGAGGGGTGGGGGAAATGAAGGACAAAAATGAAGAAGAAGAACCGACATTGGAAAAGGATAGCAAAAACAGAAAGGCGCTCGCGCGCTCGCAAACCGCCCCATCAGGATATAAGCAAAGCGGGGGGACTCCAGATCCCATCATCCACGCCCAGGGGAAGCCGCCCTACAGTGATAGGTTTCCCCCTTCCAGTCCCGTCTTAAAAATTCTTGGCAGATCTATTAAGCAGACCTCGTCGGACCAACTTTTCGCAATTACAGGTAAGTCCTTAACTTACAACCCAGTTCATTTAGTGTCCGTTTAAAGATGCAATGGCACGGAAAGAAGTGACTTGCGACCGTTTTTTCACATTTATGACTTTGGATCATGCGACCAACATTCCCACGCTTGGCAAGTGATTCATACTTATGACCATGATCCCCTTTTGCGACCATCTACCAGCAAACTCAGGAGGGGGGATTCAGATTTGCTTAACAACCGGGTTATTCACGTATCGACTGGAGCGCGACTGACTTAGCGACGGAGGTGAGAAAGATTGTAAAACGATTGCAAAAGTCACCTAACCACTGTCTCACTTAGCCACCATAATTTGGGGGCTCAATCATGGTTAAGTCGAGGAGTACCTAGATTCAAATTTACAGCAGCACCGAAGAATGTGATTTAAAGCCAGCCCTCGCATTTACAACGGTCGCAGCAATCCCCACAGATTCTCCACGATCAAACATTTACTTGTATGACAATTGCGTTTTGAATCTCCCCAGCTGGCAAGCAAAATCAAGGAGGGGACAAAGCCGGATTCGCTTAACAACCATGTGATTCACTCAATGACGGCAAGGGTTTCGCTTAAGAACCCTGGCAAGGAAGATCGTAAAATTAGATGCGACTCCTTTAACAACTGCCTCGTTTGTCAATGATGTTATCCATTCAGTCGTGTCCGACACTGGGCTACTCTTATGCCTTGCTTCGCCATGGAAATTCTAGTTCCAATTGCAGTCAGATGTTGAGGACTATTGGTTTCGTAAAGGAAAAAGTTCCCCTCGCACATAGGTGCTAGTCGTTCCCGACTCTAGGGGGCGATGCTCATTTCCGTTTCAAAGCCGAAGAGCCAGCGCTGTCCGAAGACGTCTCTGTGGTCATGTGGCCGGTATGACTCAATGCCGAAGACGCAGGGAGCGCTGTTCCCTTCCCACCAAAGGTGGCTCCTATTTTTCTACTTGCATTTTTGACCTGCTTTCGAACTGCTAGGTTTGGCAAAAGCTGGAACGAGTCAAGGGAGCTCACTCCGTTACGCGGCGCTGGGGTTTCGAACTGCTGAACTGCCGACCTTTCCGATCCACAGGCTCGACACACTGAGCCATCTTTTTTGGCTAACCGGTCGCAAAACATACCACGGCAGAGACCAGAAAGTTTGCTGAAGTACCGCCTCGCAAGGCTGTTGTGTCCACAGAAGCAAAAAAAAAAAAAAGGAAAGCGTTCGCATGCGATTTGGGGCAGGGGGAAATGGACTCCCCCCAACCTCTGTTACCTTGTATTGCTGGAGACGGTCAGCGTGGGGGAAATGAACCTGCGGGGAGAAGCGGTGGACGTAAGGAGTCCGGAGACCTGTCCGGAAGAGGTGCCGGGCCAGCAGGGAGCTGAGGTAGGTTTTTCCGGTGCCCGTCGCCCCATGAAAGGAGAGGACCAAGGGCTTGGCGGGCTCAGGGTCCTGCACGAAGTTCTTCAGGCCTTGGAGGAGCAGCTGCCTGGCCAGAGGCTGCCCTACAAGGCGCAGGGCTAATTCGCACTCGAGACCTGGAAGGAGGAAGACAAAGAAAGGCTTGAGAAAATGCCACCCTTCCTATTTCTGTGTCCCTAATGCCCCCTTTCCGGGCTTTAAAATTAGGACTGATCCTCACCCCCCAAAAGAGAACCCATAAATCGAACCACTTTGGATCTCACAACAACCCTACGAGGTAGGACAGGTGCAATTGGAATGGTTAGAAGCTTCAAACTTGAGATATATGGGAACTCGCCTCTCTGCGCCCCCCAGCGGACGCTCCCACCACTACAACATCCGCTTGTAGCCTCACCCGTTAAATCCGGCAAGAAGTCGCATTCGCAGGACGCCGAGAGGCTGCAATGCCAGGCGCCCGGCCACCAGGGGGAGCCCGAGAGCACCAACCCGGGCAGAGGCAGCAGAAGCAGCAACAGCAAGAGCGGTAGCCGCCTTCCCGCGAAAGCGCCCCCGCCCCTCTCCATGCTGGCTCTCCGCCCGCGAAGAGGGTCGGGAAGCGCGCTCCCGCGTCCCCGCGTGCGGCGGCCTTATTCCCGGCCTGCCCCGCGGCCCGGCTCGTGCTCGCAGGCGGAGAGCAAATAAAATTCCCCGCTTCCGCCACTGAGCGAGGGGGCGGGGCTTCGGGGGTGGGGCTTCCTATGGGGAGGTATTTATAGGCTCCGCCTCCCCAACCGTTCCCGGGTTTTTTTTTCTTTCAAAAAATGGGCGGGAATAAAATAGTTTGAGGGGGAAAATTGGAAATTAATATATATTAAAAATAAATGTATATATATTTAATAGAGTTTAATATAGTTTGAGGGGGGAAATTGGAAATAAATATATATTAAAAATAAATATATACATTTATATATAAATAAAATATCGCGGCAGGAAGCCAATGGAGAACTGAAATTTGAAGGAGGGAAAAGCAATTAAAATAAAATAAAAAACATGCAAAGCAATCTTTAAAGCAAAGAGGAAGGGAAAGGAGCTTGAAAGAAAAATGGGGGGGGGAAATGAGTTTGGGTGGCTGGGAAGTTAAAATTTAATTTAAATTTATTTTAGGCAAGGGCAATAGATGAGAAAAAAAATGGGTTTGGTGTGAAAAATAAAGTTATGAGGAAGGGAAATGGGGAAAAATATCTCAAGGAAAATGGGGGTGGGGGGAGAGAGAAAAAAACCCCAAGATATTTATGAGATGTTTGGGAAAATATTGAAATATAGAAGAGGCAGGAATTTGAAAGGAGGCAGTGAGGAGAAAAGAAATGAATTTTAAAAGGAAAAATGGCTTCAAAAGAAGGGTGGAGAGGAATTGGTTAAAAAATGTAGACAAATGTGGGATTTATTTAGAAATGGAGGAGAAATTGGTGGGGAAATGGATGAAAAATCAGCTTGAAAGTGCAATTCAGATACAAATGAAAGAAGAAAAATAAGCTAAAGGGAGAAAATGGGGTGAAAATGGGGAGGAAAAAGGGGATGTTTGATCCAAAAACAAGCCAGGATCAAAACTAACCAAGAGAAACCCTAAGAAATGCCAAATCAAATGCAAAATGCCCAGCAAAACCCATCTCTGATTTTGGTTCAGAAATTAGTAGAATTTAGCATTAGAAATTAATTTTCAAGTGGAAAGTAGTCAATTTCCATTTTGATTAGTCAATTTCTGGGGAGTTTATTTCACTTTCTAGTCACTTTCAGGCTTGCTTGGATTTTTCTGGTTAATTTCACTCTGGGGAGGAAAACAAAATTTTATGCTTGCTGGTTTTTTTGTTTTTGTTTTGCCAATTTTAAGCAGATCTACTTGTGTAAAATAAGCTTTTGTTAATATTGACCCATCTTCACATTTCTTTCTGTGGTATTCTTCAATAATTTGGAAGCACTTTTTTTTTTAAGAAACAATGGCCATTCTTGAGCTATATTGCTAATTTAAAAATGGAAATCTAGGTTTTAGACAATAAATTTGCATTTTTCCAGTTTCATCCTATGTAGTTTTACTCAAAAGTCAGCTCCATTGTGTTTAAAGAAAGCTACTCTTTTTAAGCTCAAGCTTGGGAAGAAAGATAAGCATTTTTGTTTTTGTTTTTAGGACATAAAAAAGGGTTTGATATCCGAAAAGGCAGGGCATACAGTCCTAAAACAACCTATCCTCGATCTTATTGGATACAATTATTTCCATGTGCCTAAATTGCATTTTCCAATGTGTTCTTATTTAAAAAGTGCACTGTTCCATTCTTCCCAAAATAATTTTATAGCTCATTTCAAAAAGACAAATGCAGCAGTCAGAAAGTGTGTTTAACTCCACCATAAACCCTTTCTGAAGAAAAAAAGCATAAAAGTTTATTGTATGCAAGAATTGAGGAAACACACTCCATTGTATCTGTACATTCATTTACAAGACCCAAAAGAACAATGTCAATTATTTACACATGAGACCTGAATACATATGTATATATATTTATACGTACATGTACACCCCATATGGATTTTTTAAAGATTTACAAAACAACCCTCATTCCCTGCATTAACATGAAAGGAAGTAAAAAAAAAGAGGCTTTAAGAAAATAAAGGAATGTTACTTGGCATCAATGAAAGGACTGGAATTGGAGGCTTTGGATATCTGGAAAGAAAGATGGCAGTGGCCAAACTTTACCTGATTGTTTAAAATGTATTATTAAATTTATTTACTATCTATCTTGTCATGGATCTACGCTGGGCGGCTTATGGTTGATGGATTAAGTTGGGTGTAGAATGAATGTTGGTGATGATCAGAGATGCCCATGAAAATAGAAGAGTTAAATTTGGGAGTTGTCTTGCTGCCTGTGAGTGTGCCTTGTCACCCAAGTCCTTCTGAGGTTTGGGGGAATTAAACCCTGATCAGCCCCACTGGACCCCTCAAAGCTGGTTGGAAATCGCTCTATTCCAATTCATGGTGACGGAGAACAGGGGGACCTCAACATAATGGAAGGAGCAGGGAGAAGATTCCTGCACTTTTGATTTCAAACCCCACTGTGAGGCATCAAACCCGGGCAGGAAACTTGGCTATGAACCAGTCGTGAATTTTAACTCTGAAGCTTTGCCTCTTTCGTGAATCACACTGCAGATCTTCAATACGAATCTGCATGGCTGCTGTCTAGCATGCTTGGCCAGTGCATTGTCTTCCCTGGTTTGCACGATCAGCCATGGTCTCCTGGAGTTACTCAGTCGTTGTCAAGTTTTGCAGGAACAAAGTCAACCTGGTGATTGTTATCAGTATTTCATGCTGGAAAGTCCCTTTTGGGGGTGGGTGGGCTCAGCCGCTTCCCTTTCGGTCAAACAGTCCCATCGCTTGAGATCTCCCCCCCCCCTCCCCGTTGCCGGAAAGCTGTTGTCCAGCTACAGCTCGCTCGAACGCACTGCTGGCTCCAATTTGTGGGACAGGGCGGTGAGGACCTTGTTAAATTTCTCGTAGCGCTCGCTCTGGCTGCTTTCGGCCCCCCGACTTCCCCATAAGAGACGGAGCTGAAATTCGGTGCTGAAGACCTCCAAAAGCTCTGCTTGTGGTTGGAACCCTGCAGGGAGACAAGAATACAATTAAAATCCTGCTGGAGAAGTTTACATTTTTAGATTCTTGGTTCACGTTCATTACCTTAAATGTATGGGTAACTGAGGTCAACTTTATCTCCACACAGAAGAGATCTAGCACTCTCCTTGAGTGGGCTGAGTGGTATATATATATATAAGGGTATATATTGTTATTATCCTTGCTTCCCAAAATTTGAAGATTACCTTTGAAAATTATAGGAGCAGACCAACAGCATTACTTTTGTTGTCTCCAGAAAGCCACCAATTAGCTTCTGATTATCAAAAATAGCAATAGCAATAGCAGTAGACTTATATACCGCTTCATAGGCCTTTCAGGCCTCTCTAAGCGGTTTACAGAGAGTCAGCATATTGCCC